AAATTGTTGGAAATTATGTCTTTTCTGAGAATGACGTCGAAATTTTTATTCTGAATTATGATTTTCTATTAGGAGAACATAACTCTAAAGGAGGTTTTTTTTTATACTTATCTTATATTCTTACCTCATATACTTACTTTTTACGGCTGCCTCATTTTTTATCATTTTAAATCATTTTTTCTCACAGTTTACTTAAATCTAGAGATACTTACTATTCGTATACTTATCTTTTACAATAGGATGTGTCGTTTTTTGCAATATTGTGTGCTTCTTAGTTTTTTTTTTAACTCTAAAGAATCGTGGAATATATATAGGCGACGTAAATCTATTATCTGGAATATCTCTTTTATTTTAAACAATATTAAAAAATGTTTCGGATAGAAGTTAAATGGTTTCATATAGGACATAATCTGACGTTATTAGTTTTTTCATAAATGGATGCGTGAAAGAGTTGTGAAGGTCAACGTTATTTTTTTAAATGGAATCGTGTATTTTTTAACGTTCCTTTAGACGCAGTTTTGTATTCTCTATACAAAAGTATCGAACCACTTATAAGAAAAATTTATTAGTTTCGGAGATAATTAAATTTTTTTAAACATCTCCTTAACTAATAATCTTCTACTATAAATGGCCCCAATACTTTTGTACAGAGAATAATGTGTTACGCATCTACACGTGTATTAAAAAATACAAGATTCTATTCAATGAAACGAAATCGACCTTCGTACCATCACTACGCATTCACTTATAAAAAAATTAATTACACCACGCTACGCCCACCTCGAAACTATTCAACTTTTGTCTAAAAAATTTTTTAATATCTCCGAAAATAAGCGAGATATTCCAAACTATTTCCAATTGATATAAGGAGCGTGGGATATAGATGGGATACACAATACGTGTACAAGAAATCTTTATAAATTTTTTTTATTTTCCAGTTTCATTTTATTCGTTATATTTATTACATACATTTTTATTTTATCACTTTTACACAAAACTTATTCTTCTCGTCGAGATGAAATAATTTTCCATCCGGGACAAGTTTCGCGCTTAGAAAGAGTTACGAGAGCATCCTTATCTTTCTTCTTCCTCTTCTTCCTCTTCTTCCTCCTCTTCTTCCTCCTCTTCCTCTTCTTCTTCTTCTTCTTCCTCTTCTTCTTCTTCCTCTTCACCTCTCCCCCTTCTTTGACATTATCCAATTCGTGCTTGTTTCCATTTTCTTGCACAGACGTCTTTCCATCCAGCTTCCAAGTAGTTTATTTGTGCTTTATTTGCCGGGAATGGGTACGGTAAATGGACCGTGTTGGGAAAAAACGAAGCGAAATTGAGATACAAACGGAAACACGCACGGTTGTAAATTTTTATAATGGTCTCCATATTCCACCGAACAAAGATATACTCGTTTTCTTCCTCCTCCTCCTCCTCCTCCTCCTTTTTCCCTTCCTCCATTCGATCCAACGAAATTAAAAATATATTTCTCCTCGAAGCCGATAATCCACCTCACGGCGTTCCATTATCGTTCATAAAGAGGAGAGAGATTTTATTTTTAAAGAAATTTTCCTCGGCGAAAAATCTCCTGCGAGAATATAATAAAATTTCACGTAATTCAATTCATCCGACTGTTAATTCAGACTGATAAAAGAGATACCTGTCCCCGTTTCCATCCTCCTTCTCCTCCCTCTCTCTCTCTCTCTCCTCCCCCTCCCTCTTTTCCATTCATCTTATCGTTGCCTCAACAATTCTATTTCGTTCCACATTCGTGACAGGAATACAGTTTCGGGGGCAAAAGGTGGAATGGACGGGGGGGGGACGAGGATGAAGCGGTGGAAAATGCAGGAGGAGGGGGGGAGGGGGGAGGTGGGGGGGGGAGAGGAAAGAAGGAGGATCGTTACGAATTTCAACGACCCAGTGATCACAGCGATTTATATGTATGTATGTAGCACGATAGATTGCATTCTAAGTATTATGCTCAACGCTACTTTGTATTCGACAGACATCGGTAGATTACGTTTGCTTTCTGCTCGGGGGACCTACGCTTCTTTTTTTTTTTTCCCCCTCCTCCTCCTTTTACGATCGTTTTTTGAAAGAGAGAAATATTCCTTTCGTGCCATCGCGAATATTATTAACCCTCGACGCGGAACGAAGAAATTTCTTCAACTGTGATTTTTCAATGCGTGAAAATTTACCAAATCTCACGACCAATCTTCCAACGTTGACAATTATGTATTAAAAGTTTCACAGATTAAACGTACATTACTTCGTTTCTTTCCTTTTTTTTTTTTCGTATCTGTTGAAAAAGAATATTACGAATCGATTCAAAGTGCACGCACAACGAGTTAGCAGATCGTTGATGACCCAAATACCACGTGGAATCGGATCAAGAACTACCCCAATTCTACGAAGAAAAGAAGAAAAAAGAATTAGAAAGTAGAAGATTAAATAAGGAAAATTACCAGGAAAATGGACCGTTCTGGCCATAGAAAAAATTCAAAAAGAGACGGGATGGAGATGGGAGAAAAAAAAAAAGGAAAAAGTAATTAATTTTGCCAATTCTACTTTGCTCGACTACCCCCCCCCCCCCTCTTCGGTTTCAACCGCTCTTCGAATTTGTCATCGTACGCGCGCGTCCACAAAATTATTCGAACGGGTGAAAGAATGGAGGGGCGCGCGACAAAATTGAAGGTAGACCCGTGACGGATTTAATGGCGGCTAGATTGTCCATCCTGCCGCTGGTTCCACCGATAACTCGGTGATGCGGCGGCACTCCACACGGGCGGAAAGAACCTTCCTCTCTGAATTTCAATTTGAGTGGGCCATTTATTTGGCCCCTGTTCAAATCCGACTATTTGCCTATGAAAATTCGAATTGCCTGCGGACGAAACAGTCCCCGATTTTATTTCAATGCGTGCGATTAACTCGGTCGTAATTTTTAATAAAAAAAAAAAAATAATTACGCAATCGCGATCGATCGAGACTTCGAGGAAAGATATAATTGTGTGAGAATACACACACGAATTTAGGCTCTTTAATTCGTATTTATGTATACTTTTACGGTAGAATTAATTCTCTTCCACTTCCATCCAAAAAAAAAAAAAAAAAAAATGGAAACATCCATCGAAGATAGAACGTTAAAATCAAACTCGAAGTTGCCTTTTAAAATGGTTGGTCCAAGTTGGTCGAAGAGACGGGTTTCCCGCGATCCTCTCTTTCGCGAGAAAGAGAAGTTTGTTTACGAAACACGGAGGAGGAGGAGGAGGAGGGGAAGGGCAGAGCAAGTTGTTGAAGACGAGAGAGAAATAAGAGCGAGCCGGCCCCTTATCTGGATAGGAAAGGAACGGAAAGGCGAAACGGAAACCGGCGAAAAAGTCACGAGACAGTCGTCGCGTGGGGATCGAAAACGAAACGAAAGGAAAAGAAAGGGAGGGAGGGGAGGAAGAAGGATGGAGGAGAGATAACCGGTGCATTAAGATCCCTAATCTAAATGAACGCTCGTTCCGGTCCAGTAGTAATGGCGGTTTATCCACCGTCGCCGCTTCCTTTTAAACGATTTAACGACGATTTTCGAAAACGAAAAATGCTTCGTGTCGCGCGTCTTCGTGCATCGAGGAAAGAAGTCGTCAAAGCTGTTTATTTATTTTTTTTTTCTTTTCTTTTTTACTTTTTGGCGCATGCATTTAAAGGGGAGAGAGCTTCTTCTCTTTCGATCCGTGGATTTTTTTCGTATTTCGTATTCTTGTGTCGGGTAAACTCGAACTATTGCGATCGATCATCATCATTTGACAAAATAATTAATTAATTAAAGGGAACATTTTATGATGAGTCTTCCACTTTTTCAATGCATCGTTCATGCGTCCGTGTTCAGGAATATTTACATTGCGCGAAAAGTAAGACAAATTGATTGAAAATCGACCGATCTTTCATTGCTGAGAGTGTTTCCGATATAATAAATCAATTAGAAGCTAATAATTAATAATTGGGAACAAGCCTCGATGACTTTTGACGTAACAGATAAAAAGGACGAAACTTCTATTACCTATCCATTATGTCTTAACTTTTTCACAATATTGCATCCCCCTCGTCTCACTTTTTTTTCTCCGATATAAAAGAAAACTTTTGCGCAAAAAAGAAAAACGATGCAACGTATGTCTCGTTTAAAATTTCGAAATCCAGGAATCCGTGTATCTTAACACTGTGCGCGCACGTATTTGCCAACTGCTCTGCTTCCGACTATTAATGCCAGATACGGTATCCGCGGCGTGAAATCGTTTCACCAACAGTATGGGCTCGATGTATAATCGGATTGGGCCGGATAGCATTGTGACGATTTCTCGCCATTTCATTCGCCCATTTCGAATGTAAATTGTGGCGGAAAGAATACCGGATATAACCGTTTCGATTCTATTTTTAACTCGTTCAAATTGTACACGACAATGTACAACCCTTTTTCTTTTTTCTCAAATACAATACTTGATTCGAGCCGAGTACCGTGCATTTGTGAAACTCTCGGGTAATTGTGTCGTGAACGAGAATTAAAAATATTCTCGAGAACGACCGTTCAATGTATTATATATTCTCAGAGTTTTGTACCCTTTAAATTCTATTCTGAAAATTACAATGCTAGTTACTCTCTAAACGTAACGAAAAATATATTTTCGAGAGCAAAATATATTCTCTCGATTCGTGAGATTTTGCAAACGTTGAGTGGAAATTATTATCGAATCGGAAAATATTTTTCGAGACTTTCCTACCCCTCGAATATGCATTCCCAAAAATATATCCCGCCTATTTTGCCATGGAGATAAAAGTTTCCTCGAAAGTCGCCGCATCCTACCCCTTTATTACGATTTTCTATCGCCAACTAGATAGAAGGAAAAAGGGAATTAAGTTTCGAATGAATTTACAAGTTGGAGGCAGATCCAGTTTTACGTTCCTTCACTGCGTCTCCCGACGAGATTCGGGATGGGATATCGCGTAATAACGCGACGAGGGAAGAGGATTGCGACTGCTTACCGAAGATTTTTTTCCCCCTTTTTTTAATAAATTCGTAATAAAAATGTTTTATCCAGCGATAAGAAAGAAAGGAAAATTTGAAATTCAAACACTATACTCGCCTCCCTATTCATATATATTTATTTTCTCATTGCACCTCGTAACGAATTTCTTGGTAATTTGATGATGATACTCGTTCGTGGAAGGAGCTCAATTCTGTCGTTCAATTTATCATTTCTCATCCAATCTATATTAACTCGCATATATCCTCTCTCTCTCTCTCTCTCTCTCTCTC